CCCTTAGTTTTCCAACTTGTTTTGCAAAGTCAAAACAAGTATCCTTGATAGTCACAGCAGTGCAAGCCTGTAATCCCAGCTGCTTTGGGAGGCTGAAGCAGGAGGATTGCAAGTTCAAAGCCAGGGTCAGCAAAAGCAAGGTGCTAAGCAACTCAGTGAGACTCTGTCTCTAAATAAAATACAAAATATGGCTGGGATGTGGCTCAGTGGTTGACTCTCCCTGAGTACAATCCATGGTACCCCCTCAAAAGAAATCAAAGTATTTTATTAATCTTTTAAATTTCTCCATTTATAGTGATTTCCCTTTGCTCATTTTTAAAATTTTATATATCTGTTCTTTCTTACTCCTGCAATATCTAGATTATTGGTTTGCTCAAGAATTCAGTGTTTGGCTTATTTATTGGTTTTGCTGTTTATGTTATTTCTAATTGATTGCATTCTTCCAGCTTTCCCATGGCTGTTCATTGTTTTCTCTTTTCCTGTTTTCAGTTAAAACTTTAGACTTTTATCTCATAGTTTCTGATATGAATAGCTATTATGATTAATATTTTTAGGGATTCTACAATTTGAGTTTGGGTTTTTGTTAAATTGTTTCAGAAAGTTTTTTTTTAAGCTAGGAAAATTTTAATATTCTGTTTTATTATTACATTCTTGTCCCAGTTCTGTATGATCAGATAATACTATTAGCACTATTTCAATGTTGAAATATACTGAGCCTTTATATGTGGTTTCATATTTGCTCACATTTATGACTATTCTGTATCCATTTTATTAAAAGTTACATTCACTATTGTTGAGGAACAAAGATTAAATGTTGATGTTAAATGTTTGTTATTTTAAGACTTTAAAGTAAATTTTTCAACTGAATTTGTTAAATTCAAAAACCTACTTATTGTGAATTTTCTTTTGGGGGGAGAGATTATATGACAGAGAATGGCAAGATTACTTTACAGATAAATTACTTTTTATAAAGTTGAATTTTTAAAAATTCATGAGCATTATCCATCTTTCTTTATTCAAAATTTGTTTCACATTTTTAATGAAAGCTTCTTTTGTGGGACTAAGTATATTTATTCAGTCCCTGTTTATTCTCTTTAAATCTGAGCCTCCCAATATTATGTATATATACAAATATATTAAAAATTCTTAAAGTGGAAAAATGGAGGACAAACTGCAATCATAGCATGATATAATTCAGTCTTTTCCAAATTTTTATGCACTCAGATACAAATACATATGTACAACTATTTTCATTTGTTACCCAGAATTCCTTTGTATGGTTTTACAATAAATGTATTTAATTGATCCCCAGTTAATTGCCACTTAGGATGTTTGGAACATTTTGCTATTATGAACAATGTAGCCAGAGAGAAATATTTGCACATATGGTTAGGTAAATGTGTGCACTTATGCATGTGCATTCACACCCCAAATAATAATTTAAATCCAAGTACTCATTTCTATTTAAACCCGTTGCTTGTCAGGATACATGTATCAAATTGATAGCATTTAG